TCGTTTTCTGAGCCCGAGATTAACTTTTGTTTTCTGTAATCCCCTAACAAATATTACATCACAAAATCCTAAGTAAAAAAAAAAAAATATTAATGAATAGTAATACCTCTCCCTCTCTCCTGTTTGCGAGCATATTTTATGAGCGATAAAGTGATGAAATGATTGTAAATTAGGAATTTTTATTATGTACTTTCACTATGTTTATCTAATACTTATTGTGTCTTATCAGTTGTCATTAAAAATAAATTAAAATTCCGACGTGATATCAATTAGTTTTCATTTTTTAATAATTTCCGAATGAACTTAAGAAGAAAGTTAAAAGAATTGAAAATATTTACCATAAGAAGCATTGTGACTGTGTTAGGTATATTTAGCTCGGTAATTATTGTAGGTAGGTGGAGGGCTTACATAATTAATGTTTTTAGACCATTTAGGTGCGTAGAGAACGATTGAAAATTATAAATAATAAACTTAAATTGTAATTAGCAGTGGCCTCAATTCTTGGAATTTCTATTAAACACCACATAACAGGTATGTGTTACCAGAAGAATTACTCAGGTATATAATAAATGGTAAATTTTGTAACTTTGAAATTCTTTTAAAACCGGTATTTTACTGAACAAAATTTGTCTCATTTATTACTATAAAAACTTGATTTTCATCGACATTTTAAATGAGGGCGTCGTAGTAATACGGTCAAGTTGAAGAACGAATCTGCAATTCTCATTCTTAGTCGCAAAAAAAAGGACGATTAATCCTGCTTTATTTGAACGCAGTTTCTCTGCCCAATCGTAAATATATGTTTGCTAAATTTTGTTTTATTTATGGTTCATAGTTAAAATTGGTTCAATAAATACGAAGGTCTTCAACTTTCTTTGAAATTTTTGAAACAATCTCTACCGCAACAGTTATATTATAGCCAGAAACCTCGTGTTTGGAATCAAATTATGATGTTTCACACCACTACACGAGGTGACATAATGCATGAACTGAAAAATTTATTCATTTCTTGAAATGCATCAACATTCGTAATGTTAAAAATCTTACAAAAACTACCACGCTCGTTATATGAAGTGGATGCAAGGAACATGTAGTGACAAAATTTAATATTAGTCCAATAATTTTTGTAAAAGAACCTTATAAACTTAACTAGAAAGCATAGGAATTTTTACTATACCAGCATGGTAATTTTTCCAATATTTGTCACTCTGTGTACTTATCGAGCTGCGTATTCCAATCCTTTGCTCATAATTAAGACAAATTGACGTATTAATATTATTAATAATTGTGCAAAAGTGAACAAATAATTGATTTGTGACATACGCAGAATAATATGCCCTTGGTCAGTATTTTGTCAAAACCGCCCAATGTAGGAAGGCTCGTAGAATGATATTATTAAAAAACCGTTTCTCTTGTCAAAAATATTAATTAAGTGGTTCTGTAATGTTAAATAAGAAAAACTTTTTAACTAATTACGTACCATATCTATGATAATATTTTCACCAGTACGTAAAAAGGATATAAATAAACTAACCTTTTGTATGAGAATTTCTGAATATAAATATGAATTACAAAATCACAATTGATGATCCGCGGTAAAATTTAAATATTACATAAAAAATTTGATTTCACTTTTTAAGGCTATAGGCAGTTCCGATAAAATTTCGAACAAATCAAATTAAATAATTCTGCGTGGCGATTAACTTTATTATAGACCTCCAGAAACTTTTAAAATATAAAAAATAATACTGCCAAGTTTCAAGATCGGTTAGTAGGACACCTTCTCAGACACAAAGGTCTAGTCAGAGCCATATTAGAGGCAGAAACGGGAGTTAGGAGGGTAGAGGTAGGCCTAGATTAGATTACTGTTCACAAATAGTTAAGGATGTGGGCTGTTCTGGTTTTGGGGAAATGCGAAGATTAGCTCAGGATAGGAAAGAGTGGAGGTACATGTCCAACCAATATTAGGGCTGACGATCTTATGAATATGATAATGAACTTTTAAGATAGAAATTCAGCTACTATTGCATTTAAATTTTGGGAAAAGAAGCCTTTGTTGTGGTTATTAATCTTGCTAAAATATTATCCTGATCGAATACATAAGTGTGCAACAATTTTGTTAATAAATAATAATAATTCTACCAAATGTTAATTATTGATCCATTATGATCTGTGCTCACAGAGACTATGTAGAAAGTGTACATAGATACGATAAGGAAACAATAGAAAAAAATTGTATTACAAACTAGGGTTTACTGGTGGCTTCGCTCGTTTTGGTCCTAAATACGTATCAAAGATCAACGAGGGTCACAGAAAACTAATGTATCTATCCCTCTGGAACAGTATTTTTTTCTAGATAAAGGGTACTCTATGTCTTTTGACAATGTGTGTACAAAATTTCATTGTAGGTTTTACTCACGGCTTCGCACGTATTAAAGTCTTGAGTGCGTCTCAAAGATCTTCTACGACCACATAAAACTAATTTATCTATCTATCCCTCAGGAACAGTATGGCTTTTTTTTTAGGTAAAAGATCCCCTATGTCTTTTTATGTACCCCTGACAATGTGTGTACAAAATGTCATGATTATCGGTCGAGCAGTTAATGTGTGAAATAGTAGCAAACAAACAAATTCACATTCGCCTTTGTAATATTAGTTAGAATTACAATAGCATTTCACTAGAATAATGTTTTTTTTTTTCAGTGGTTTTCAAAGACCCACTTCCCTGCTTATTATAAACATAAAGTTATTATTAATGTGATGTGTATGAAAGTAGGTGACATCAATTGAATTAATTTACACGTACAACAGCATCTATGTGTTTGCCGATTGAATTTGACATTTTTTAATTTAGTCGCGAGAACGTTGTCGTGATTCTCAATACATATAATAGCATTAAAATCTAAAGGCATATACAGTGACATTTGAATTGCAATAATACCAGTATCGGTTGTGTAATTTTTGCTTAGAAATTAATTTAATAATTATAAACACACGTCTCGTAACTTTTACCTTAAATGTGGGTTCACAAAAATCAAAACCATTATCATAAAATAAAATGTGCAATAAAAGGTACTCTTACTAGGACTTGATGATATAATATCAATCAACAGGCAGTATAACGTCATCTAGTGATATTTTCTACAAACAGCAGATTTCTAAAGAAATTGTACTTAGTAATTAGGATATTTGACACTTCTCTACATGATTGTCTTAATAATGTGCACCTACTATGGTTATAATCAACCAAGTTGTAAATATTAATGCATCATTGGTTTTAATTATAACGTTCCAACTGTTAGGTACGCGTAATAGTTGTATCACTAAAATTAAATTTAATGTTTGGAAAATTATTTGGCTGCTTTAGGCATTACGTCACTTATACCACTCATACAAATTTAATACGAAATCAAATCATTACCAAACTTATTACGATTTCTTATTATCTTAATAATAAAATTAAAAAAAATTGATACTTAATCAATAAACAACAACTAGCTGTCATATAAAAAAGTATATGCATACATATAATCTCAACTGTTTCGGATTTAATAGAAAAAGGAATGCGTTGCATTTTTTAACTAACAGATAACAAAATCGTTTAAAATAAATTAAATTTTCCCTTAAAAACGAATTTAAACTTATTTTAATGAGAACTTCTAGTCATTTCTCGGAACTAAAAAGTGAAATGGAACAGTTTTAATAGCAGAAAGCTGTCTTTAGTTAGTCAAGGCTCCCTGAAATAATTTTCATAATTACTCAAGGTTAATTAAGTTAAAACTTTCATGGATTCAATACAATTCAAAGCAGCTACAGTGAAAAGAAATGGCAAGCAGAAAATAAATACTATTAATATTAAATTAATTAAATGCGATCTTTCCAACAAGTTTAAAAGAATTATTTTTTGAATTGTACTTAAAATAATTAAAGTAACACATCATATTTTTTATAAAATTAAATATCGCCCCGAATTAACATATCAAGATGGCCTATTGTACGGAACATATCTAATGACCTCCACAACAGAAAACTAATACAAGTTGGTTTTTATGGAATTGGAAACATTGTATATACGCGGCTTGACCAGCTTGGCATTTTTATCAATTTGTTAATTAACCTTAACATATATGTAGGTAGATATATGTCGTCGCGACTTTTTATTTCGTTGCAAAATTGGTCCCCACGAAAATCGCTTTTATTTTTACAGAATAATATACATCCTATGTATACTCTGAAGGTCCTTTCTACATATTGGTGAAATAATTTTTGAAATCGGATAAGTATTTTCGAAGATTACCCATATATATCCAAATTTACAAACTGACATTATCTTTTTATAACATTAGTAGAAATAAATTAAAATCAGTCTTCAAATAATTAAATTAAATGCAAGTTTTATAAATGAGAAATAAATTAAATGAAAAGAGATATTGTACAAATTAGTAGTTACGTCATTATATTTAGTCAGAAGAATATATTTCAAATAATGTTGATTTCGTATTTAATTATCTAGTCGTTTCTGTCGTGATTAGTCCCAGTCCCACCCTGCCTTAACATTCTACAAAAATACTTCTGATTTGTTTCTTATTGTTTAAAGTTTATTTACTTGAAATTTGAAGCATGTTTCATTTGTTTTTTCTTTAAATTCAATTTAACCATAAAATCAGTAAAAAAACTTATTGGTACCTTGTAGTAAAACTTTAGCGGGTACCAAATTCTTTACATTAGTTATTTGGAGAACTGTTTTTTATCGTTCTGTCTTCTTTTTGAATTCTTTATATTTATTTTCTTTGAGAGTAAATTGTAATGTATATGGTTATTAATTTTACGAATCCAGTATTGCGTTACCTAGTAAAAGTAAGATTACGGTAGTAACGCATTACGTAAAAACGGTGATGACACGATATAAGTCTATACACATGTATATGTTTGTACATGTGTATGGTATAATATGAATGTAAAGTTTGGCACTAGTCAATGGTATAAAGAGGTCAACTTACGTGAGTAGCTTTAGCTTCATTGTCGGCGTTGGGATGTGATGGTGAAGAAGTGTACGTGATGCGACCGAGTCGGTGAATACCAGTTCACTAGGAGTCGCGAAGAAATCTGACTTGTATATATAAATTCTTGTTCGCTTTTCCCTTCACTTTGCCACGGAACAGGTGCTCTACCGAGCACACCAGAAGGCTCTCAAGTTGAAAGAGAGACCATCACGACCAAATTTCCTAACCCATGGTGTGCTCTACACAGTCTGAAAACTTCTTGTGAAATTATTTAACAATTCGAAAAATTCTGCCCACTAGCCAACCATTTCTTCACCTACTACGTCGAGGAAATCTGTAGACAATTATAAACAATACCAAAAGTTTTGAAACGCTTCTAAACTTGCATATGAAATTTGCCTTCAGCCACTTGAGTCTTAGGAGGTATGACTGGGGTTCATTTTAAATCAAACCACTAATTGATATTGATACCTACTTTTCCAGTGAAGACACGTGAAGAAATTCGTCCAACTTTATTCTGATACCTACATTATAATAAGTTCCTAAAAATTACCTAAGAAGAGTCCAGTCATATGAAACACCAAGGGATAATTGTGTGTTGTACATGTATTTGTAAAAATTGTGCGATTTTCCTCTTTTTACAACTCGGAAAAAGTTGTATCATCAAAGTTACTTTCTGAAAATTGAATAAACTTTCTTTTGAATCCGGTCCTGTTCTATTTAACAGTCAATGATGGATGTATGAGCTAATACTGGTAGACCAGAAAAGAAGATATATACATTAACCTCAAATTTCAGTTGTCAACATTCAACCGTTTTTTTGTAATAAGTTAACAAAACGGATCTTTAAGGTAAAAGGGTCAAAGGATCACGCCTTATATTCCTTTTTATTGTGTTACTCTTTCTAGGCAAATATAGCTAATATGGAAGAATGCTTAAGACAAAATTTTCATTCAAAGTACTGTTATTAGCTGCTATATTAATTTTTACGGTTTATGTATTTTTATACGACAAAACTTCAGCACAAGTTTTAAATAAGTTAAATGATGTTCCTAAGAATGCAGAAAGAACATCCACAACTTTATTTAAAAGGGATCCTGAATATAACTTGTGGCTTGTTTTTACTAGAACAACAAAACATTCCACCCTGACATACAAGTTTGAACATCTCATTACAAACTTACTTAACATATCAAAAGTACCATTAAACGTTCATATAGTGGTAGACAATAATTCAAAATCAATAGCTGAAGAAATTATATTAGAAAAATGTAGGCAGGCCAACAGAACTATTCGTTATGATTTTTATAATATTACAACAACTGCTGCATTAATTGATGATATTGTGCAAGTTATGTCACCTCATTTCAGCTCTAAACCAGGTAGGAAGTATATAAAAATATATGAGTGTAATACACATTCTATCAATTTTACAAAAATATATACGATTTCATGATAATAATAATTACCTAAAATACTTATATTAGATTGTTTTTTTAAGGAACCTATTACAGTGGTGCTCTTTTTTACCTTTCATTAGGACTTTATAGGTTTGCACCTATAAATGAAACAACAGCAATAATGTTGGACTGCGATTTGTACTTTAAGGATGATATCAATCTCTTATTTCACCAATTTCAGAGGTAAAAACAAAACGCTTTATATAAGGAAATTTTTGTTAGCATTTATATTTTTTAGTTTTAATTCATCAGTACTGTTTGGTTTAGCACCTGAATTGTCTCCAGTTTATAGACATATTCTTACAAAGTACAGAATGAATCACAAAACCCCTTTTGGTGAATACTATCATTCATATGAACTTTTTAACAGCAATCATTCGCATGGTTTTCAAGGATATAACACTGGGGTTATTTTATTAAATATAACTGCAATTCGCAATTCAAAAGAATATCTAAATTTGATTTCATCTGAGTATGTAGGAAATTTAACTCAGAAATATAAATTTAAGGGGCATCTAGGTGATCAAGATTTTTATACTTTACTAGGGTACGAAAGGCCTGATTTATTTAAAACGTTAAGTTGCGGTTTTAACAGACAACTTTGCACTTGGTGGAAAGACCACGGTTACAGTGACGTTTTTAAACATTATTTTAAATGTAATGAGCACATAACAGTATTACATGGTAATTGTCATTCCAAAATACCAAATTCAAAATGAAATATTTGGTGAAGTGCCGTCTTTTTTAAAGAAGATTAGTGGATTTATACAAAATGTTTTTATTATAATCGTTTTACTCCATTTATTAAACAACTTAATAGTGAGTAAAAACAGTGCAATATTTTTTATGAATGAATTAAAATTGTAATTTTTTAGTGTTTTTTATACGTATTTTATATATATATCTATTTAATTGCATTTAATATCTTTAAAAGTGGATAACAGCATTAATTTCTTACAGTATTGTTTTTGAAAATAATATATAATTGGTCTGTGATACAGAATGGGATAATCTTTTAGCCTTTTTGTTTGTAATAGTATTGCTTTTTATACAATAAACTATTTTTGATAAATAACTTTTTGTTTGTTTAAAGCTAACCCATAATATTCGTCGATTTTTTCTCGTATGTTAATCTCGTACAGGATTATAATTAGTTTAGGTATATGGTTTGTGAAGTGTTCAAAGTTATGTGGGTTGCCTATTAAAATAACAATTTTGGCCTTTTTGGTACATTTAGAAGTGGTAAAAGGGCTGCCTATGTATTAGGATACCTTTTGTCTATCCCGTAATTTAAAAAATGGTATAAGTGTAAATATATGGGCTACATATAGAAGTTATATATGTAGTTAATTAAAGGAGAGTATCAATATGGATATATTTCTTTAATTTTTTATAAGTAGAATATACCTATCTGCTGTTTTATAAGATAAATAAGTGTTGTAAAGTAAGAATACATACAATGCAATAATTTCTTTAAAGTACGCTAAATTAGATTGGTATGTTATCTATTTTTTATAAACGTTTCATCGTAGGTATTTCATATAAATCACTAGACAGAAGCAACTTTAGTATGTTTGGGAAGAAGTTTACTTAAAAACAAAATTAATTTGCTTTTTAATTTTGGAGCGGAAATTATGCTTTGATACTAGTCCTTTTCCGCCCTACGGGAAATGTAGCAAAAATTCATGTTGTGTTAAATACTCTTTGAAGTATACGCAACACCTTGGTTCTTTGTTTCATAGTTTATAAGGTACTAGTTCTTCCCCCTGCCCCCGGCCATTTTTATTGCTTCACTATGATGTAGTGTCGGCCATCATTCTTTTCTAATTGTTGCAGTTGTCGGCCATCATTCTTTTCTAATTGTTGCAGTTGTCGGCCATCATTCTTTTTCAATTGTTGACGCATTGTCACTGATGTCGGCCATTATGGTTTTTTAATAGTAATCAATGATTCAAATTTAAAGGGATTGTTTGTAAATTGCTGATACTAACTTTCATTAACGTAATACTACTTTGCCCTGTGCTGACAGAACTCATCATTTTTTTTAATTGTTGCTGTTGTCGGCCATCATTCTTTTTCAATTGTTGTCGCATTGTCACTGATGTCGGCCATTATGGTTTTTTAATAGTAATCAATGATTCAAATTTAAAGGGATTGTTTGTAAATTGCTGATACTAACTTTCATTAACGTAATACTACTTTGCCCTGTGCTGACAGAACTCATAATTTTTTTTATATATAATATACCACTAAAAGGCGGTTAATTCTGGAAACATGTTTACGCACAATTCTGTTTTATAATGAAATTAAATAATTACATATGGTTACCAGGCTTCGAGCTAAGTGTGGGTAATTCTCGCATGTAAATCAGCTTCCTGCAGACTGAATTATGTTTACACCGTATTTTATAGCAATTATTTAATTCAGTTTTACGCTGGACAACATTGTTAGATTGTTTGTGTTGCGTTCACGATTTTCAAAGTTGCTACAATCGGCTTGTATATAAAAATAATTACCTTGCGGGGGCTTAATTCTTGTACTTACACATAATAATAATGGACAACATCCTTATAACATCTGAAATGGTTCATACAAAAAAATAACAGATATTAAACCTTAATGCTTTTGTTTTTCATAATTTCCGCTATTTTTGACGGCACTAGAGAGGGTTAATATTAAGGGTAAACTAAATTTTTATATAATTTGTTTTAATTTGGCAATAAAACGTAAATTAGAAGAGAAGTGTGTAATACTTTATTACAATGAAATACAATGTGTAAAACATTTTGTTTAAACATTAGGTACGTAGAAAATTTGTGCGTTAGTTTAATAGTGTAATATTTTTTTATATATGCATATATAAGTACATATATATATATATGATTATAGTTTGTAGGCATTCCTAATCATTTCCAAAAAATAGTCATCGTTATCAACAAGGACGCTAATGCCGCTGTAGTAATTTAAAAATTCTTCTTTTGTAACACGTCCATCACGGCTGGCATCTTGTTCAAAATTGCCCAAAAATTTCGTCAGTATTTCGTCTTCGGTTTTCTTGCCGGCTATAAAATCGGGATGCTTTTTGGCAGTATAAACATCTTTCTTTATATAAGGAAATTTTTGTTAGCATTTATATTTTTTAGTTTTAATTCATCAGTACTGTTTGGTTTAGCACCTGAATTGTCTCCAGTTTATAGACATATTCTTACAAAGTACAGAATGAATCACAAAACCCCTTTTGGTGAATACTATCATTCATATGAACTTTTTAACAGCAATCATTCGCATGGTTTTCAAGGATATAACACTGGGGTTATTTTATTAAATATAACTGCAATTCGCAATTCAAAAGAATATCTAAATTTGATTTCNAATATTTGAAATTGTAGATTCGCTTGGCACTTGGTGAAACATTTTTATAAAATTAAAGTAAAGGAATGAAAACACTTGAAAATGGTTTAAACACTGAAACGATCGTCAGAGAAATAAATGAACATTGTGAAACTTGCCAAGTGTTTTAATTCCTTTACTTTAAGTTCCGCATTTGATTTTTTTTATATTTTTATCACTGCGATGTTCTCGCGGATTGGGGCATGACGATTCTATAGTTCATTAAAAAAAAAAGGCATAATTGATTACCCTAATCGCAATGAAAAATTCGTCCAAGTTAACACCACCGCTTTGGTCTTGGTCAAACTTGTTGAATACGTCTTTGGCTTCTGCGTCGGTAATTTTCAGTCCAGCTTCCCGCAACCCGTCAGTAAATTCCCGACTGTTCAGCTGTTTGTTTCCGTCTTCATCCATCCTCCTAAACATCCTCCCTAGTGACAAGATCCCGTTGACTCCACGGGAAAGGCATAACAACCGAATTCTTTCAACCGGATCCATATTTGCACCTTGAGCTTCTAATCTATTCACACTTCCTTTTATGAGTTCTTCTTCTTTTGATAAATCGAGATTTTGGGTCTCACTCATTACACTGAAATAGGAATATTGATTTAAAGACCCTAACGACCTGTTTAATTTAGAATGAAACTGAAGGAATTGTTTCTTTTGTACTGTAAAGAAGGTTTCGAAATACTTACCCATCCAGACTCATAATGTGGATTTTTTTGTTTAACGTAGGAAAAACGTGTACCTCATGCAAACAACTGATAAACAATTTTATCTACAACTGCGATCTAGTGCTACTTTATTTTATGAAATCGATTTGGCTTGTAAAAAATTCATAGTAGGCGTAAGTGCGGTGCACCTCTTTAAAGTAGGGTAGGTAATGTAATTGTTGTTTATAAAAGCCAGTCAGTTAAATGTACGACCCAGTAAAAATTACTGTAATTTGTTTCGCTAATGGAAAATCGTTGCTTTTGTCTTATTATCATCTTAAATTAATCGTTCTGATACCAAATAATTGAGGCGAACTATTAACCACAATCCAATTCCTATATTACTTTGATTATCGGCTTGTATTATCAATAACGTTAACCAGAAACCGGCAAAATCGGATTATCCAACAAACTTATTTTTTATTAAATAGGATAAACGAAAAAATAACTTACTTTTTAAATCGCCCATCATTTTTCACTTACGTTCGTTATTGCGATTGTTGTGAACCTATACTTACGACTACTTCACAAAATTAACGAGAATTGTTCGAGTTCATGAAAATTTTATTAGTCATACCTGTGTGTCAATAAAATTGTAGAAAAGGCGAAAGCGGCAATCATTTTGTCGTTGAAGGCTGTCTACTTTTAAGGAAAAAAGGCAATTTTAAGACCAACTGTTTTATTTTACTGTACAACGGCGTATGTTATTAGAACTGTTGGAAATATTGCTACAATTTTGTTTATATATGAGCGCAAAAGTATCTGCACTCATACGTAACAATTTAACATACAACTAAACACCATGTGATATATTTGTTCTTTAACAAAGATGAAACCGGCAAATGTTACCTTGAACTGACCATTGCCAGCCATACAAAGCATTTTTAACCGGTTCGAATCATATAGAGCAAGGATACAATATAAATATTTTTATATTTAGGTTTGTTATTTATACTTTATGACCAGGTTCTTTAACCTGGGGGTCCACTGTGGTCTACGTAATATCCAATTAATCTAATAATTTGTAAACTGGACGTGAGCGAAGCAACTCAATGATCTAGTTCCAATAAAAAGTGTTTTTACCACATCCCTACCGAAAGTACGATATTTTCCCCTGATTTCAGGGACAAAAGCGCAACATTCCCTCCCGAATAATAAATCGCATTTACTTAATATCAGCGAGTGGTGGTTTACAATGTTCAATACTTTCCTAATACGGAATAAATAACAGAGCGAATATAAAGATATGAGATGAAAAATTAGAAGAAGTGACTGATTTTAGGTACCTAGGAAGTCAGATAAGTCAGGACGGAAGGAGTAGTAGGGATCTAAAGCAAAGGAGAGCGCAGGGTCGAATCGCTTTCAATTAAAAGGAGTCACTTCTATGCTCGCGAACGGTTAATTTAGAAATTCGAAAAAGGTTTTTAAAGGCTTATGTTTTGAACGAGGCGCTGTACGGGTGCGAAACATGGACAGTAGGCGCGGTGGAAAAGAAGCGTTCGAAATGTGGTGTTACAGGCGAATGATGAGGATACCATGGAAAGAGAAGGGTAGATATGAAGAGGTATTAGAAAGAATAGGGGAACAGAAGACTTTATGGAAGTCAATAAGAAATAGGCGAGATAGTTTAATAGGACACCTTCTCAGACATGAAGATCTAGTCAGAGACATATTAGAGGCAGAAACGTGGGTTAGGAGGGGTAGAGGTAGACCTAGATTAGATTACTGTACATACATACATACTTGTACTATGAAGTACTGATGACAAAATAGATGCGACTTTCTTGCCCAATAAAAATGTTGCACTATATAATCCCTGAAATCAGTAAAAGTCGTACTTTCGAGCCAGAGGTAAAAAATTGTATGCGGGTCTTGCAAAGAAAGTATGGCAGCCGCTCCCTAGAATTCACACCCTGGAGAAAATGCTGGTCGAAAAGGACCCGTGAGATTTTTGAAAGTTGTCTGCGACTACAAAATGGATTTTTAATTCTCCATAAGAAAAGAATGACAAATACTTTGGACATTTTCGTGTGTATATGTCTCAAGAGTGAAAAAGATACACGAATTTGAGAAAAATCCATCAAAAAGAGAAGGTTTTGTGACAGTGTTTGGAAGCTGATAAACTAACCATGATGAACAAGTGTATCTGACCGTTTTTATAGAGAATGTTATGCTCTTTTCATTTGTGGTTAGTTCGTGTTTGCGTGTCTTTGTTTTCGAAATATATATAAATGAAAATCTCTTTTGGAAACTAAAAAGTCCAATGAGCCCCTAGTAAATATAAAAATAAGAGCTCTGCGTGAATCAGAATTCTTCTTTTTAATATCAAACTTGCAAGTATTAAAATTCTTGAAATGAAGGAAAAATTACATAGAATAGTTACAATTAATAAGAAATTAATTATTTCGATAGATAGCTTAATTGAGTTTCTTCTAGCAACGTTTTGGACCTTACCGAATAGATTTCAATCTTCAGGACCGTAAAATTTCAGTAAATCAAATAAAAAGTTCTGATAACATCCAATAAAACTATCTTTTATGGGCAAACTTAATAATAGCACTATAAATTTTACTTTTATCATTTAGTATATACTATATGAAAAAAACTCCAGTTTCCGTGACAGTAGTGAGAATTACAACAAACATTTATCAATTTTTAATTAACAGTCAAGTCATGCAACCTCATCATTTCATGCAGAAAGTATCGAAATTACTGTTATTACTGATAGATGGAGGAAAGTGAAAAGGAATATATAATTTGTGTAGCGCTCTTACACTTTTTTACTGAAATAGAAGTCAATAGTTGTTCGTATATTAATAAGCTGATAAATCTTCTTTTTGTTTTCAGGTAGCAGCAATTGGATATATTTTTCTCGAAGACAAAACGTCATGGTAAAATCCTTGAAGGTATGTTTAATTTATTTATGAGTTATTTTTTAAGTTAAGCTCCAATTTGAAATATGAGTACATGTATGTCATGTAAAATAAATAGATAAATCGATATAAAAAACAAAGTATACGCTATAAATACAAAAAAAAAACTTTTAGGTGCGTTACATTTATTCTTTGGAACTTTGAGAAGAGAATTCTTTTCGAAACAAGAAACGTATTTTTCAAATAGCATAATATTAAAAATTTTAAAACCATATGGAAAATCGTTGCTTTTGTCTTATTATCATCTTAAATTAATCGTTCTGATACCAAATAATTGAGGCGAACTATTAACCACAATCCAATTCCTATATTACTTTGATTATCGGCTTGTATTATCAATAACGTTAACCAGAAACCGGCAAAATCGGATTATCCAACAATCTTATTTTTTATTAAATAGGATAAACGAAAAAATAACTTACTTTTTAAATCGCCCATCATTTTTCACTTACGTTCGTTATTGCGATTGTTGTGAACCTATACTTACGACTACTTCACAAAATTAACGAGAATTGTTCGAGTTCATGAAAATTTTATTAGTCATACCTGTGTGTCAATAAAATTGTAGAAAAGGCGAAAGCGGCAATCATTTTGTCGTTGAAGGCTGTCTACTTTTAAGGAAAAAAGGCAATTTTAAGACCAACTGTTTTATTTTACTGTACAACGGCGTATGTTATTAGAACTGTTGGAAATATTGCTACAATTTTGTTTATATATGAGCGCAAAAGTATCTGCACTCATACGTAACAATTTAACATACAACTAAACACCATGTGATATATTTGTTCTTTAACAAAGATGAAACCGGCAAATGTTACCTTGAACTGACCATTGCCAGCCATACAAAGCATTTTTAACCGGTTCGAATCATATAGAGCAAGGATACAATATAAATATTTTTATATTTAGGTTTGTTATTTATACTTTATGACCAGGTTCTTTAACCTGGGGGTCCACTGTGGTCTACGTAATATCCAATTAATCTAATAATTTGTAAACTGGACGTGAGCGAAGCAACTCAATGATCTAGTTCCAATAAAAAGTGTTTTTACCACATCCCTACCGAAAGTACGATATTTTCCCCTGATTTCAGGGACAAAAGCGCAACATTCCCTCCCGAATAATAAATCGCATTTACTTAATATCAGCGAGTGGTGGTTTACAATGTTCAATACTTTCCTAATACGGAATAAATAACAGAGCGAATATAAAGATATGAGACGTAAAATTAGAAGAAGTGACTGATTTTAGGTACCTAGGAAGTCAGATAAGTCAGGACGGAAGGAGTAGTAGGGATATAAAGCAAAGGAGAGCGCAGGGTCGAATCGCTCTCAATTAAAAGGAGTCACTTCTGTGCTCGCGAACGGTTAATTTAGAAATTCGAAAAAGGTTTTTAAAGATTTATGTTTTGAACGAGGCGCTGTACGGGTGCGAAACATGGACAGTAGGCGCGGTGGAAAAGAAGCGTTCGAAATGTGGTGTTACAGGCGAATGATGAGGATACCATGGAAAGAGAAGGGTAGATATGAAGAGGTATTAGAAAGAATAGGGGAACAGAAGACTCTATGGAAGTCAATAAGAAATAGGCGAGATAGTTTAATAGGACACCTTCTCAGACATGAAGATCTAGTNAGGAGATCGGGCTGAAACTATAGCTACAAGCTATCCAAGGATGGTACTATAGAATGTCACCTCAAGGTAGGCCTAGTGGCGTCATCTCTTGGTTAGGCCGGAAACTTATCAATCCACCCTCGTACATTCACATTTGTTTTATTTGCAATTATAAAACCTTTATGGACAGTTTTAATTAAAAATTAAATAGTTTGATGAAATGGTAACTATTAAAAAGACAATAATAATTATTTAGATTATAACTTTGGTCTTCTGTTCATTTGTAATAGGTACTTGTGTTGAATTCAATATTACTTTTTAATGCAAAAAATTTATATAAACCATATCCAGTGTAAGGGACGGTTTAAACATCTTTAGAACTACTGCAAAATTACCTGAAGAAGTCGACATGTAAGTTGACAAAATCTTGTATTTAATGTTAGTAAATTGATTAAAAATGACATATTACAACCTGTTGACTATTGTATACTCAGATCACCACAAAGGAACTCATTTATGCACTACTTTTTAATATTCTGTTGTCACATTATTTGCTATCGAGCTTAAGTTAATTATATATTTAAATATTGTTTCGATTGTTTAATAGGAATATTACACAAACCTTGGACATCATGTGCAGTTGGAGAGTGATTGTAGTAATCCACATTTCATCCCAGTATGAAGCAATACCTTTTTATTAACTGGAAGCAGAAACAACAAGGGCAAGTAACAAACTTTTATTTTAAAGGATAAAACGAAAAGGCTTGGCAAAGTGATAATTATTTTAACTCATAATTACTATTTTTTTTTTCGAAATACTTTCTCTTTTTTTTTTAGGATTTATTTATTAAAAAGGAAAGACAATTCCTAATACATATTTGTAGTAATTCAAAGGCACTTTATATTCATATGCACATTGGAAAAATTTAATAAAGGGTCAGTATCAAAAGTATAAAGCTTTCAATTGTTTTAATGCTATCCATAACATTTTGTCTGACAGTCCGAAATAATCATAAAATTATTATTTTAATGATTTTGGTGTTTGTTATTTATTAAGAAACGTTTCGCTAAGAGAATTTATTACAGGTACTTTTTAGCTTCTGCAATAAAAGACAGTGCGTGAATAATTGATAATTTCAGATGTAACGCACTTTTTCGTTAAAAAGCAAATATTTTTTCAAATTTTTCTTGGCTCATTTATATCGATTTAAAAAATTCAGTATTTTTGTATTTTTATTGCCACGGAAACCGGTTTTAAATGTTACAATGTTTGATTAATTATCAGTATGCAATCGAATTTACATTAGTGCGTGTATGGTTGCATATTATGTAGAGTTCCTTTTGCACTAATATGAAACTGGAAAATTTTGAGTAAGATTTTAGCTCTTAATAATTTAAAAATCGAACCTTGCGTTTATTTTCCTTACTAAAATTTGATTCAGTAATCAATTATTAACATATCAATTTTCGAGTTGCTGTAAATGTAATACATATAAATAAAAGATAATGTAAATATACTTTAATCCACTAAGTACCTATTGCAATCATATAAAACAAAATTTCATTACATTGCAGCTGTAACTGAATATCTGCACATGACACAAACCATTTTTGTTTTGAAGAATAAGTTATTCCTTTGTCTCCATTTGGCCTCAAAGAAGAGTCATAAAAAGGACTTCCTCCCATGGAAATACGTTAACGATCAGAGCGGATTGCCGAAGAATGAATTTGTGACATGTAATTGGTTACTGTTTGGGGGCATTAAAGGTTGTAGGACTGAAAGGTAAGAAAAATTTTTGAGAATATTTTTAGGGCTTTAATTGGTTCATTACATAATCGCAGTAAATAAAATTTCTTGAATTATACAATTAATATAATTAATTAATTTATATTAATTACACTTTATTAATCTGTTGCCATTTTTCACAGCTAATTCAAGTAATAATACATAATTAAGTTAATATAATTACATTTTATTAATCTGTTGTCAATTTGGTTAACAAAAGACGTCTCAGATTGTCCATCATTTAATTAGGATTGTAGGTAATTGTGAATTTCGGTTTATCCTATTTTTTTTCTAAAAAGGTCCGTTTGACTCTGCTACGTTTTGCTGATTTTGCCACTAAAACTCATTGAAAACGTAGATTTACCCTTCCAACCCCCAATTTAAAAACGTTTTTATTTCATGATTATTAATATTTTAAACTCTTGATTTTTAAAAGTCGATTCTTTAATAGTAGAACTGCAATTACAGTCTGACGCTCAGAATACTTTGCAGTGAAGTGGGTTGTCTATGTCAAGGGCGAACAATTCCAGTGTATTTAAAATTGTATTTATTTTAAATTCAAATTATCATGGTACCAATGTTACAGTGCGAGTCGAAACTTGTAAGCAAATAAATTTTTGGATTTTAATACAATAATCTGATTTTATTTGGTATATAAGCAGTCTATGAAAATAATTATGATTTTACGACACTTAACTCTGTTAATGTAAATGAATTTTTTCACTTTGTTTTGTATATTTCTTTAATGTGGGGGCAATAAACTGGTAAGTAACAGTATCAATTAAAAATAGTAAATGAGGCCCCAGAGAGTTCTATCTGTTAGACATTTGTAACTTGCTTCAATAGACAACTTTTAAACAACGTTTCAGAAATGGCATAAGTTAAAACAGCAGAATTAATGTGGAACTGATCTTTTTATCAGTCGAAATGGTACTAATTTAGTTGCTTAAAGTGATAATTAGTTACTTTTTCTTGTCTGTTTCTATAGATTGTTCAACCAGTGAAAAGGAATAACAGTTAAATTTGATGTTTTGCAACATTATGCAGTTAATTTTAGCCCTGAAAATGTGAGGCAGTTAGAAATTAATTTAGTTGCCATTTTTAATAATTATCTATTTTCCACAGTATAAATTGATATTATGGTGCGGTTATGATGTTTAAACATTAGTTGAACCTTGTATTATGCACGTTATTTATTAAGGAAGCTAAATTAATTGTATCTGAATACTGTTTCATAAGATTTCATTTTACAGGAACATTAGAAGAACTCTAGATTTTGTTTAAATTATTAACATTGGTTGTATCAATTAAAAATAGTAAATGAGGTCAAATAGACAACTTTTAAACGACTTTTCAGAAAAGGCAGATGCATAGAATTAATGTGGAACTTTTTCATTAGTGTGAATGTTACCGATTTACTAGGTTTAAAAGTGGGAATTAATTACGTTTTCTTGCCCATTTCTATAGATTGTCTAACAAGTTAGAAGGAATTGGTGCTACAAAAACAATTGATGCTTTTAATGTCTTCACCTTGAGGAATTATGCAGTTAATTTTGCCCCTGAGAGTGGGAGGCAATTGGAAATTAGTTTGGAAGCCACTGGAAACAACAAATTATCTGGAGTGGCGTCCCTCCTAGATTTGGTTTGCTCATCATACCGGTAGACTTTAGAACGCTACTTTCTACAATTGGTGAAGGTGAGAATACAAGACGTAACTAATATTAATTGCTCTTTATTAATTTTATTAATTTGTAATGGCATTTCTTTAAACTATTATCTATTGGCCACAGTATAAATTAATATTGTGACGTATGTATAGTATTTCTTTTAAATATCTATTGCCTGCAACATCTGTGGAATTTCGTTTAACATGTATCTACGGTATTTTAATATCTACTGTCTACATTATAAATTAATGTTATATGCATCTATGATTATTTCACATTTGTATGTCAAATGCTATCTGTCATTATGTAACTTGTTTGTTGCCGTTTTATAATTATGCAGTTTTAATTGCTTTTTGGTGTGTGTTTTTAGGTGTTCTTAATTAATAGTGTAATTAATATGGTTTTTGTCCATTTCTGCAAATTATCCAAGGAATGAGAGAGAATTAAAATTCAGTTTGGTCATACTGAAACAAGCAATGTCTACATGGGTGTGGTCTTATATTCTTGATTTGCTGGTTTGTCTTCACCTTGCAACATTATACAGTCCATTTTCAACCGACGAGCGAGAGCAACTGGAGATTTATTCGAGTTTCACTGAAATAACAAATTTTCTGCTATGGTATTCATCCTAGATTTTTTTTGCTTTTCACACATGTAAACATACAGTCTACAGTAAATTAAGGTGAGAATACTCAATATATTTAATTTTAATTGCTCTTTATTAATCTGTTACCACCGTATCTGTTTCGGGGCGACGCTGGAGAAGACAAAGAAGACCCCGTAGTTAAAATAGTTCTTTTATCTTGTATGCTCTTATCCAGTGTAGAATTCATTAAGTTGATCTTATTCAAATTAATTTTTTATTTTNATAAAAACATCTACAATCAACAATTACTTCAAATAAAATGAACAAAAATAAGCATGGAAAATAAAAACTAATTCAAATTAACTACAAAAAAACATGCAAAATAAAAAATTAATTTGAATAAGATCAACTTAATGAATTCTACACTGGATAAGAGCATACAAGATAAAAGAACTATTTTAACTACGGGTTCTTCTTTGTCTTGTCCAGCGTCGCCCTGAAACAGATACGGTGGTAATAGATTAATAAAGAGCAATTAAAATTAAATATATTGAGTATTCTCACCTTAATTTACTGTAGACTGTAAGTTTACATGTGTGAAAAGCAAACCAAATCCAGGATGAATACCATAGCAGAAAATTTGTTATTTCAGTGGAACTCGAATAAATCTCCAGTTGCTCTCGCTCGTCGGTTGAAAATGGACTGCATAATGTTGCAAGGTGAAGACAAACCAGCAAATCAAGAGTATAAGACCACACCCATGTAGACATTACTTGTTTCAGTATGACCAAACTGAACTTTAATTCTCTCTCATTCCTTGGATAATCTGCAGAAATGGACAAAAACCATGTTAATTACACTATTAATTAAGAACACCTAAAAACACACACCAAAAAGCAATTAAAACTCCACAATTATAAAATAGCAACAAGCGTCAAGTTACATAATGACAGATAGCATTTGATATTAGTGATGGGTCGTTATTCCGTTAACGTTATTTTGGAACGTTATTTTGTTGCAACGTTCCGGAACGTTACTGTTTATCGTAAAACTCGTTACTGAGGAACGTAAAGTGGCAAGCGCTGCAACACAACAGAATGTCTTTATTACCCCAACTTAATTACAATTTGAAAGTAATCGAAAAAGCCGTTTTGATTTGTTTGAAAATAACGTTATTTAATAACGTTATTTAAAAACGTTATTTTTATTCAAAGTTCCAATTGGCAACGTTATCGAATAGGAATCGTTACGCCCATCACTATTTGATATACAAATGTGAAATAATCATAGATGCATAACGTCAGTTTAAGCTGTGAACAATAGATACATGTTAAACGAAATTCCACAGATGTTGCAGGTAATAGATATTTAAAAGAAATACTATACATATGTCACAATATTAATTTATACTGTGGCCAATAGATAATAGTTTAAAGAAATGCCATTACAAATTAATAAAATTAATAAAGAGCAATTAATATTAGTTACGTCTTGTATTCTCACCTTCACCAATTGTAGAAAGTAGCGTTCTAAAGTCTACCGGTATGATGAGCAAACCAAATCTAGGAGGGACGCCACTCCAGATAATTTGTTGTTTCCAGTGGCTTCCAAACTAATTTCCAATTCTATATGTTAAATACAATTGAATATTTTAGTGCCTACCTAATTAGGCAAATAATTCGAATAAATTTACTTAATTTGAGCGCGTTATCTGCTCCTCCATTAGCTTCACAGAGACATGGAACAATCATTTTACGAATTCTTTGAAGTAAGTGTACATTCATTGTATTCTATATATGATCAGTATATTTGAGAAGCTCTTTAAAATAAAACCCGATATCCATTTCCTAACCCAGTAATCGCAAATATTTACTACTTGATGAAATACAATGATATTTATCCCTTACAACAAAAAAACAATGAAATTATTGTTGCATCCATCTGTCAAGCAGACTGGGAAAATATAAATCAAATTAATGACATTTAATCAATATCGAACGTACCGGGCATTAGACAAAATACAAATTCGTCAAAAAGCATATAAACATAAAAAATTTATACCATTAGTGACAACTAAGCAGTTACAAATAGTACTCAATCACTTTCAACACAAACACGTCTGCAACGAAAAATGCAAAAATTCAAATAAAAATATGTAGCATAGACAATAAATACACAAACGGTAATGTGTAGTAGAAACCATTGAGCTAGACAGATTTCTCTCCACTTCAATGGTAGAAACACACATCATATGCAACCATAAATACACGAGTGTAAATTTTATTGCATACTGATAATTACTCAAAAATTACATTTAAAGTGTCTTCGCGCCTATATTTATATTTTTTAAATCCATAACAGAATGAACTAGCCAAATTTTGAAAAAACATTGCTTTTAACGAAAAAGTGCGTCACATCTGAAGTTATCAATTATTCACGCTTTGCCTCTTATTGCAAAAGCTAAAAATTGTCTGTAATAAATCCCCTGAAATAATATATATTTCCAAAATTAACATAAAAACTTCTAATTCTATTCTATTCTGATTTTCGAAATACCATGTACTACTATCAGATATATTCTATATTTTAATTTTAAAATTGTATGTAAAATTATTCTTAGCAGTTACAGCCTCAGTACTTTGAAAGAATGCCGCCCATTATTTATCGTTTTTGATTATTAAATAGTTTTAAATATTTTTTATTGATTCCATTACATATAGATACACTTAAAGTCGGCCGTGCAGTCAGATTTACTTAATCTAGTTAAAGTAGAATACAGTTTTAGGAGTCAAACAATATTTTGTACGATAGATATTTGAAGACATACTTTAGTTTAGAACAATTATATTGGTACGTTTATATCAATAATTACTTTAAACGATGATTTATTAAATGTCCACAGCGACCAAAGAGCAACAGGCGTAGTGAATTAACCCGGATAAATAAGTTAAAATAAAACTAGTAAAATTCTGAATCTTCATATTTTTTTTCGAAAGCAAATTAACTTTGGATCTCCAAACTTCATAATTTTAAAATTTGTTAGTACTCTAACAATATATGTGAGGATCGATTCACTACACTTATCATCATACGGCCTTTCATTCCTAAAACATAACATTAAAGAAAAGGTGTGTCAATTTGAATATAGAAATATTTTTAAAAAGGATGAACTAATGCTAGATTACAGTACCTCAGTAGTAAATTCATAGTCTAAATTCTAATCTTATTAATCAAAAATTGTAAGTGACCAGAGCGAATTAAAAAACATAATTGTGTAATTGTGGTATAACTAACTTTATTGTTCACCAAATAAATTTTTAATGTAATATTTTAACTGCACGACTCGACTTCAAAATGGGCAATACAAACTCAATGATAACTAAAATTATAGGGGACTAAAGCTGTTTATACTTTTCTCTTCAAAAATCATTCTTTTCAAGCCTACCTAATTTGCATGCGCAACATGCAAAAGGTGCTTTTTGTGTTCATTATCTAAATAAATAAGTAAACTTTTAATACCAGAGATTAACCGTATTGATTTTTATCTATAAAGACCGCGCAAGAACTGGTACGTAAAGCAGAAGTGTGGCCAAAACATAAACAGAAAGAAAAAAATCTACATGTATATATCTAAAAGAAACAAAAACGAAGAAATGGTGTAAAGGCCTAATGTAATGTGTTGTTATCGATCTTTTAGAACATTGGCGAGGTATCTCATGTCAGCCGTGCGATCAGAGGCGTAGAATGCTTCTCGGAGAAGTCCTAGGAGCGGTTCAGGATCTGCAAGACCCGCCTGTTGATTCAGCAGATTTGCAAAGAATGTGTTCCATAACTCTAGCGACATATATCTAAGAAATTGATGTTAAATGACGAATTGTGTAAAAAATAATTACTTATATAATAGTAAGAGTACAAATAGATTTTAGTTATTTTTTTTTCAATAGAAATTTAAAAACTTAAAAATTTGAAAAAATTAAGAAAAGTTAACAGGCAACTATTCATTTTCTACTAATTTTCATTTTTTTTCAAATTGATTAATGGACACGAATAACTCAAAAATCAGAAGGGATTTTAATTGGTTTATAATTATTTTTTTCTCCTTTCAAACAGAATCAATTGTAAACAAAAACCAAAACAGGAGATTGGTACCTGGTAAATCGTTGGGTGATTGACCAGTGTCCATCTTTCTTTTGCAACTGTATGTATTTATCAAAGAGAAGTACATGAGCAGATGCGGCTACACAGAAGAGATCGGTGTGGTAGTTCCACGGTCGCCCGTCGCGCATTTCACAACATACAAAGTCCTCGGTTGTGACACAACGTGTAAACGTGGTACTTTCAGGAAAGAGGGTCATGTCGATGCTGCAACCGAAATCGATCAATTGGAGCGTGATCGTTTGGTCGGGGGCGACAAAGACCAAGAAGTTATCAGGCTTTACGTCCGCGTGTATAATTTTAGCTTTGTGTAGGGCTTGTACAATACTTAGCATCTCCATAGAGAAAAAAATGCAGAAAGGTTCTTTTAAGGTTTTGCCCGTTTTCTGTTTAACTGCATTTGCAACGTCCAACAACGAACCGCAACGGCTGAATTCTGATACCAAAATAGACATCTGATCATCTGCAACAAACAATAAATTCTTTAAGGGTTGATAAAATTTTAATAATCTCAATTAAATATTAAGAAAATTGTAACGGTGAAAATATATAGAATACTAAGAAATTTCAATCTTCACAATCAAACAAACAAAACGACGGGCTGTCCACCTACCTTTTACGTATGAAAATGGCTATTTCTTAGTAATTTCAAAGTTCAAGCCTGTTTTAGCAGAGAATTTTACTGATAAAAACTAATCATACTATTGGTAATGTATGATTCTTCTTTGTTTTAATTTCAGTTTTTAAAGCAGACGCTTCTATTTAATTAACAAAAATTCACGAGATTGCATATGAACCAATTAGTAAGCGACATACGGTACGTATTTTGTTTCATACTGCTACTTCATATTACAACAGGCAAATAAGCAGAAACATATGTCTATTTAATTATGACTTACGTTCACTACTTGAATGCAGTGAAAACGATGTAATCAAGAATAACTTAAATTTTCCAGCACAGGTATTTTAAAATATCAATATCATGATTTCTTTATAATTCCCAGCTCTATAATTTAATAGTCACTTGTCTATATTACAAGTGAATTCAATATTTGCTATTTCTAACTTCGATCAGTACTGTTCCATTGCTTCTTACAGACTACACTGATGACGTACATGCAATCACTCGTGAACATTTGTTGTAAATATTTATCAGCGACCTTAACTAAGCATACAAGGGTAGCTTAATGTAAATTGCACGTTGAAAAAGCAATTGAGCCTTAAAAATAGTCTAAAGGCAGCACTTTCAACGATAGAATATATTACAATTCTGATTCGATTCAGCGCACCAAATATTTTTAGGCAAATCTCTCTTGTTTCTGCGACGTTCAAATGGATTGTAACAAAGAAATTCCATCTTTTTGCATGAACCCTTACAAACATAGTTTTACTTACTAAAGTAGCCGACAGGGACTTGCATGAATCGGTCTCTGAGTGGGTGTTTGGCCAGTCGCGACTGTATTTCTCTACAAATGTAAAACTCCCATTTGTTGGGTGGTTTTTGTATTTTTAATGCAACAACTTCTTTCGTCCTTAAATCGGTTGCTTTATAAACTTGACCATAAGTACCTTTGCCCAGCATCTTTTCTATGAGATACCGATCGTCTCCAATTCTACATGGTTCCTTCTTAATGGTGAATCGAGGAGTACAAAATATTTCTATATAGCCTGCAACAATTTTTTTTTAATTTCCTCACTGTTAAAACGTAAATCCAGTTCAAAAACTGAAAATACGTTTTAAATACATACCTGCAGTGTGGCGATTTGGGAACGCAACGTGTTTTAGAAGAGTTTCAATAACAGTTGATTTGAATGGATCGCTTGGAGCCTACAATGGAGAAGAGTTACAAATTGTAGTTTTGTAGTTTAACTTATTGTAAATAAAATATGTAAGTTAGGATTCTCAACTGCATCTAGATGGAAACAGAATAATTTAACGATTTGCAAATGAAATTCTTATACGAGCATAAAAAGATAAGCAATATTAAAACCATTTGAAAATTTTAATTTTAAAGAAGTTTAACGATTTTACAATTGACTTTTAAAATTGATTTAAAAACGTATTAAGATTCTTTTGAAATCTCAAATTAACTTAATTAAACATAAACATATATAGATACTATTTTCATCTTTACCTGAGATAAGGGCTCTATATGAAGAGGGGCCGGAGGCAATGTGGGAAGTATGTCTGTTACGGGACTGCTTTGACCTGATTCGCATTCCATCAAATCACCTAACAAACTCAATCTGAGGGCCGCATTGGCTTTCATATTTTGTGCTAGATTGAAATTGTAGTTGCTTTCTTCCTCGCTTATCACTGCCATGTTTTCACGCTTTGATTGATTTGACATGACCGATTTGAAAGTTGAGCTTCCGCTAGATGAGCTTGATCTTTGAAATTTCAATTTTTATTATTGGGGTTCAAATAGAAATAATAAATATCACAGATCAAATACTAAAAGTAAATAATGTACGATGTATTATTATTGTTCAAAAAAGCACAAAATCAAATTAATTTTTTAATAGTAAACTATTGAAAATATCTCAATAAAAGAAAAGTTATGGACGTAAAAGATTATTAAAATTAAAGTGAGAAACTTCTATTCAATAAAAAGCAAAATAAATAAGTAAATTAAAAGAATGAACGGAAGTTTTATTATATAGAGATGAGAAAATGTCAAAAATTGCTTTTATCTTCGATTTTAACGTTTTTTTATTTAACAAAAATTTATTTGTTACCTGTAATCTTTCGTAGTTTCTTCAAAAATTGTCGACATGTGTTTTTTCTCGGGTTCAGGTCCGAACAGCATTTTCTTGCTTTGTTTGAGAGTCTCCTCACTAATATCTTTAAGTGGTTCAGTTCGTTTAGATTGCGGAGTGCTAACTTGCATTGCATTCAAATTAACGTTGAACATTTGAGTGTTACAAGAAGCATTTAGATCGGGGAGAATAGGAGGTTCACGATTTCCGATAATTTTGATAGGTGAGTTGCTATCATCTTCGAAAATAGGGATCCTTTTGGCGCCATCGCACGGCTGTGCAGCCGCTGCTACATCTTGACCCCCTCGAGAACCTGTTTCCGCGAGTTCTTCATCGCTTATTATTCTAAAAGGGGGACTTTTCATAGCAGTACCTTTTAACTGAGCGTCGTCTTCGAATATAGCAAATTTTGATGTTCCTTTTATGGGGGGTAAACCTAGAAATTAAATGTTAATAATATATACGTAAAAAAATAATTTTTATTGTTTCTTGTTACTACTCGAGTATGCCGTTGAATTGTCAAAAAAATAATTATTAACCTATTTCCAAAACAATGAATTCCAATCCGAAAATTTCATTGTCTCAAAATAAATGACTCAACCTGTATTATAAAAAAACAATTTTTATTCTCTTGCTTCAACTAAAGTAACATTGCTTGAATATTGTATAATGTTTATTCATTTATTGGTAATACGATATGACGCGTTAAATTGTGAATTAAGAGGGTCATTTTTGAGAATAATGTTTTTGACATAATTCAACAAGTCGTTTCTATAAAGCCTTACTGTTGGAGTCTTCTTCTGTAGTAAACCTCCATAAATCGACCATGTCTTTTCCGAACTCGCTACTCATATTAGGCGACTCCCTATTGACAGGGGTATTAGCTTGCTGAGTACTTAGGTTTGCAAAGCCAGTACCTGCAGGTGACACTATAGTGGCAGTCTGTGCAGTAATCGCTTGCTTCACAGAATGACATGGTGTTCTTGATAGTATGTTGTTATTTTTAGATTTATTGAATGTCGGTTGTTGTGGTTTATGCTGTTGTTGGGGCTGCATTTGAAATTGTTGTGTTGAGAAAGCCATTTGCTGTTGTTGCGGAAATTGATTACTCATATGGAGTTGAGAACGATTGAGGAGGCTCATTGTCTGGTGCTGATCAAAATGATTACTTTGAGGTTGTTGTGATGGTTGAAGATGTTGATTGTGAAATTGTCCAAAACCGCCAGTCATCATAGGCTGTTGTTGACTGAAAATTTCGAAATGTTGCTGCTGTTGTTGTGAATTGTTCATTAATTCGTATGATTTCCTTATAGCGCCTTCCTGTTTAGCCATGCCAACATCAACCTGTTGATATTGAAACTGTTCCGATCTGGGCAAGTAGTTTTGAAAATGTTCATTCTGTGTCTTAAAAATAAAAAAAATGAACAGAAGTACCACCAATCTATATTAATATATTTTTTTAAATTTACTGATAAC